AATCTGTGAGAAAGCAAAGATGTACCTAGTATATTTGACAACAGCAAAGTTGACAAGCGTGCCTGTGATGTCTCTCCAGGTTATACAATAATAACAAAAACCGAATAGAATGAGTGGAATACAGCGAACGAGTTGATCCGGAGAGAGGGTAGCGAAGTGAATATTGACAGGTTCTGGTGGATGATTTTGTTAGCTGCTGATGAGCTCTGACACGACAGGCCTCCCAGCAGCCTCTGGCACTCCTGTTCTCACCTCCACACATGAGCAAGCTCATCTGTGAACTCCCCCTCCACCTTTTTACACATTTAACTATGCCACTTTTTTTTTCCCCGATTAAACATGCAAACACTGATACACACACACACACACACACACACACACACACACACACTGAAGCTCACACACAGACAGATGCACAAGGATCTACACTTTCTTACATCGTCACTGAAGCTTAGCCTTTACTTTTTTTTTGTAAGTCAGGGCTGTTGGCAGCTAAGATGGAAAGACGGGAGACTGCAGAGAGAGAGAGAGAGAGAGAGAGAAGGGGGGTAGAATAGGGCTCTCCATCATGCTGTCAGTAAGGTGCAGCTTTAGCCTTAGCAAGGAATATAGAGTGTTTTTAAAAGGTGCTGCGAGGTGCAGCAAAGATGAGTCGGATAAATGACTTCTCTTTTTTATTCAAAGAGCCCAGTGAAGCCCACAGGGTTGCTCCGTGTGGGTGGGTGTGTGTGTGTGTGTGTGTGGAGGAAGGGAGGGAGGGGAGAAAAGGAGTGTGTGTATGAAGTGGAGAAAGTGTCACAATGTGCATGCTTGAAAATGTGTGCAAAACTCAGACTTGTGTGACGGCCGGCTGATGTTTTTGTTACTTTCTGACATTATAACTTATTATGGTTTTTTTTTTTTGTTTTGTTTTCTCTTGGCTGTTGCTCTCCGCCCTTTTAAACCACTGACTGGGAAAAGTAATGTAGTGTAGCCGGGGCATGTAAGGTGGAACAATGGCTCAAAAATATTGAATAAGGAGTGAAAGGGAGCTGGGGTTTGAATGACAATGGGTCAGAGCTGGCGGTGAGGACAGATGATGTGGGGTGGGGGGAAGATGGTCCAGATTGATGACAGATCTCTGCTGGTTAAATATTATCAGGCTGCTTTTTTTCTTCTTTTTTTTTTAATCTATCAACACCCCCTCCTCCTGTCCTGGTATCACACAGAGAATAGCAAGATGTGGTCAGCTAATGATCTGCCCTTCTGAGCCATTCACTTTTTGTATTAGCCTATTTACTTACTTTAGAGACACTCCCCCCTCTCTATGGGTTCACAACACAGATGGTTTGGGTAGCCATAGCGACTGCCATTAGATGCCATCAGTCCAAAGCCAGTCTGTGCTCTTCTTCTTCTTCTTCTTCTTCTCTTTTTTTTTTTTTTTTTAATCACAGGCAGGCCCAACTGCAAAGGCAGTTCATTTCAAGAAATTTTTCTTCAGCGTGAATGAATAGAAAGAAATTAGCAGTGCCTCTACCCTGACTTTCTCACAGATCTGTTCATTTTTAAAAAAAGGTTCCTCCTCTCTATTACGGTCACATTTCACTAGGATTGCAATGATATGCGCAACCGAGTGAAGCAAAAGCACAAAAGTTTCTCTGTGCTGACAGATGCAAATGCATTTTTTTAAACATATGATAAGCCATGTGATGTTAGTTTTGCTTTCACTAGTTCCCTTTTTTTCCCCCACCTCAATGTTTGTGCACCTAAATGCCAAGGGTAGGACGAGCCAATGTCTGAGGGCAAAAGGTTTTCCACTGATATCTGTTTCACGTGCCAGTTGTGTGAGAATGACGCAGCTCTATTCTACTCCCTGGGGCTACGATGAGTAAACCTTTTGACTGCAGTAACAACCCCACGTACAGTGAATATCTTTGAAGCTGACCCGTATGTGTACCTCTGGGATATGTGGCTGCCTTTCATCCAGTTAACTCCTCCGTTTCTTACACACACACACACACACACACACACACACACA